ATATTACGGAAGTCTTGGATAGAAACAGATTTGTGATAGAGGATATAAAGGGACGAAGAAATATGAAGGCGTAGTATCCTTGGATAAAATCGAACCTCATGACGTAAAAGTAAGCTCTGAAGAATCAGAAGGAAGTTCCCAACAAAGCGAGTTGGAATAAGGTATGTATTTATTTTTCTTATTCTATTGCGTTTCACAGTTTTCTCGCTTCTAGTAACAAAACTGGTCGTCTCGTTTTCAAATTTCTCAAAAAATAAAATAAAATATGGAATTATAGGGTAATTCTGGTTGATTGGCCATAAATACCAAAATTACACTATACCTACCTAGGTACTTAAAAATGTTTCTAAAGTCATAGTCGCGAGCGATGAAGGTTGAGAGGTAGTCGATCTGTCAGTGATGGGGAACAAACTTATATACTATTTGAGCTAAATAAGATTTAAGCTAGGCTAGCATGCCGAAGACCGAAGTGGGATTCTGACAGGAAATTACAGAAAAGCGAAGTGGGATTCTGACAAGAAATTACAGAACACCGAAGTGGGATTCTGATAGGGAAATGGAGAACTTGGAGAAGTTTCTTACATGTATCAAAGAAATGAAGTGCGGAAATGCAAAACGCTCATTTGAAAGCTGCTTCACAAATAAAAGTTTCACTTTTGTTTCCGCTCGGAGTCTAATGGCCGTTTCCACCAACTAATTTAGGGGAGTCTCAACGATAGGTATTTCCTAAACTGACATTTCTCCATGAAAGACTCTCATTTTAGGGAATACTCATCGTTATGGCTCTCCTAAAATAGTTGGTGGAAACGGCCATAAGTCTTTTTTTTTAGGGTTATCAAGAGCAGGCATTTTTTTAGGATTAGCAAAGACAGGCTTCCCGACGAGTACTATGAGGACGCGGACTAGGTAGCGTAAAAGAACTGTCAACGAGTCGCCACTGTCTTTCCTGAGGGAGGAATATGGTTACGTCGCTATTCGACACGACAGAGAGAAATCAGGTGATGTTAGAGGGTGCTGACGTCTTTGTCGAAACTGTTGGATTATTGTTCTTTTTTTTTTGGAAATAGTTCGAATAATTTTTATTGTTAAATGTTAGTAGTTAATGTTAATGAAGGATTATGATTAATATTTTCTGATATTTTTTTTTCCAGATTTGTATTTTCTTTAAGATAATTCTTCGTCGGACTAGCCTTGCGCCTCTGCATGATTAGTTGTCATTGGATTTGGAGTTTCAGGTAGACTTCACATTCATCTTTGATGTCTTCTCAGATTTTCTCACCAGTAAAACGTCATCTAGCTTGTCTTCGAATAATATTTAGGTACTATGATCTAAATTTTATTTTATATCCTTGATTGTTTCATATTCTGATCTCTCCATTGATTTATCAATGTTTTTTTGTGAAGTATATTTTTGTTTTCAGTAGATGATATTCTATTTCCCAAGTGGCAGCTCTGTAGAAAGTGGTTCAAATTGGAAAATTTCAATAGGATACACCCATTTGTAGATGGTATTTAGCACGATGGAAAGCTCTTGGCAAACTATAGGGTTGCCTCAGCGACTTCAATATTTCAAAATGCAAACCCTAGAGATGATGAAAAACGTTTTGAGAAATAGATTTTATGCTTGGATTAAAACTACTGTAGCGGTGCGCTTTCGCTATCATGTACAGAATCTTACTTGAAATCTAGAAAATACTGCCTTATTCGAGCAAAAAGAGTATCGCGTTTATTCTGGATTTTACAAGAATGGATTACAGATATATAATGGCCGGTATTAGTTAGTAGCTTTACGTTTTAAGATTGATTGTGATATGATTTAGATAGTGATTATTGTTGAGAGTTGTAAAGAGCTCAGTTCTTCGATTTTATTAGTGAAGTAATTAGGGTCAGAGTGTATAGTAACGTGGAATAAATTATTGTTGTGTAAATTGGACTTTGATTTTGAATAAACGGACCCAAGATTCTGTCACGCAGCACATAGCTGTGACATTGGTATCAAAAGTGAGATATAATTCGAAAACTGCAAAGTGAAATCCGATTGCAGAATAGTGCGGACACTTAGTGAACACTGGTGTAAGCAGTGACAATCACCAAAAGAGACTTAACCGATTGTGTAAATTACCTCGGAAGTGACTGTATACTCGATTTTGACTGTGATAATGAATTTTCAAATAAGTTCTAGAAAATTCTATGTGGAAACCAAGGGAGATATCGAATTTGTGACTCCACCGACGTGTTTATTATATCAATCGATAATCAGAAAAGACATTTCTAGAACATTCTATTGGAGAATGAAGCAAGTTATCCAATCTGTGACTTCATCGAAGGGTTTGGAACTTCAATCAAAAACCAGGAAAGATATTTGAAGAGATTTTGAGGAAAATTCCAGAACATTCTGTATATGCCTATTACGAGACTATTTGTACAAGCCATAATTGAATAACTTCTGCGCAAAATGTTGGAATTTCAAAAGTCCAAACGACAATAAAACGGAGAAGCTGAACGACAACAAGAAAAACAAGACGAAGAGATCAAGCGACAAAAAGAAAAACAACAAGAAGAAGAAGCTTAACGACAACAAGACAAAGAGGTCAGGCGACAAAAAGAAAAACAAAAAGAAGAAGCTAAACAACAAAAAGAAAAACCAGAAGAAGAGGCTAGGCGATAACGAAAACGAGAAGAAAACCTTGGAAAATATATTTCAAACCATACAAGGAACTGTCGCTAATTTAGAACAAAAGATTGAGGAATTAAAAGCCGAAGTTAAAGGCGATGTTCAGCAATTGAGACAAGAAGTTGAGGATCAAGTTCAAGCACTTGAAGATAAGGTGAATAAATTAGGAATACAGTCCATCAATCCAGGTAGTGTTGGAGCATTCTCTAGTATGGAGATAAAACCACCAACTTTTGACAGTTCTACATCCTGGACCATGTATATCCGACAATTTGAAGCTGCTGCAAATACCAATGCACGGAATGATCAAGAAAAAACTACAGCACTGATAGTGGCGCTACGAGGACCTGCCTTAGATCTTCTTCAGTCCATTCCTTCAATCCACTAACAGAATTACCAGCATCCAAGTCAGACGTTAGAATTGCGCTTCGGAGACCATTTACAAGCAAGAAGTACATGTTTAGAGCTCAAGTTAAATCAATAATTCAAAAACCCGGCGAAAGTTAACATTCGAATCGGAAGTTAAAAGGCTAGTGACTTTGGTGTTTCCTGCAGCTGGGGAAGACATGCAGGAATGGATGGCAATATCTGCGTTCATTGATGGTCTAAGAGATTCCAAGATCCAGGTAAACCTGAGAATGTCTAAGTTCAGACAAAGTAGCGAAGACCTTGTCCGAGCATTAAAACTGGAAGCAATCTTTGGTGCCTCACGACCTAGAATACGAGCAGTGTCCATTGAAGACCCCAAAGGATAAACAATCGTCAAAAAAGAATGGTAGTTTCGAGAATGTTATGAGTAATTTCATGGAGCAAATGAAGAAACTACTACTAGAAAGTAGAATAACGGGAAACGATTCCAGACAAACATCAACACCCAGAAACCGAGTAGAATGTTATCGGTGTCATAAGCTTGGACATATGCAATGGGATTATAGAGTAAAGATGTCCTCTCCATTTAGGGATCGTTCCCAACGCTTTTCAAGATCTAGAGACGCTAGCTCTAATAACAGACAGCCAACCAGTAGGGAGGGACGAATGCTGGTTGATAATGACGAAGTTCCCAGGGTTGTTTGCATAAAATCATTGGGCAGTCATTATAGAGGATCAAAATTCGAAGGACAAATTAATGGAGAATTTGAAACCATCACTTTTGATACGGGTGCTGAAGTTTCTATAATTCGGTGCGCTTTCGCCATGGTGTACAGAATCTAACTTGGAATCTAGAAAATATTGGCTTATTCGGGCAAAAAGAGTATCGCGTTTATTCTGGATTTTACAACAGTGGATTACAGATATATAAAGGCCGTTATTAGTTGGTAGTTTTAGGTTTTAAGTTTGACTGTGATATGATTTCGATAGTGATTATTGTTGACAGTTGAAAAGAGTGTATTCGTTTGAGTTAATTAGTGAAGTAATTAGTGTCAGAGTGTATAGTAACGTGGAATAAATTATGGTTATGTTAATTGGATTTTGATTTTGAACAAACGGACCCAAGATTTCTGTCACGCACCCCAGAGCCATGACACTCCCTACTTTTCAAATTTTGGGTGATTTCGAAGTAAAGTTAAGTAATTGGGAACCCGTTATTAATCTGGATCCACTAAATTAAAATAAATCTTGGGTCATTTGAGTCAGAACTTTTTTTTTTAAGTTATTCAACACCAAATTCATGAAAATTGAAATTAAGTTGACGACAGTCCATGAAACATCGAAATCATCTAACTTCCTTTTTTTTGTACAAAACACGAGAAGAAACTTTGAAAAAGGTTGCGAGTTGATTGGGTAAAAATAAGCGAAACGGAACAAGATTGTTTCACGGTAAATTAAACATGAAAATTCAATCATTTCGGAAACAGTAAAAACACTTTCGTCTCTCCTGCGTTCTTACGAAAAAAAAAAAAACAATTTTTTCATTACAGCAGTAATTTTGCTCTTTTCCACAAAAATTCATATCAAACATTTAAAAGATATGTTATTTAAAAGCATTTTTTTCGTTTTCATTATGAAACTACAAAAAGATGAAATGTCAACAAAAAGCTTTAATGAAATTCCTACTGCATGACAAAGAAGATTGTTTCACATCAACATTGTTTATCTGGTAGAAAAGTTTAACAAATTTTAAATTACGGCACTTGTGAAAAAGTGGTAATAATGTGGTATGTGAGGCCAGTAGCGTAGTTGATATTATTTCACGTAAATATGGCCAAAAAATCCTGAACGAAAATTTCAAGTTGTTTCAAATCCCATCACGGGATAAAATCCTCATTACATAGCAATTGTGAATAAAACTTTTAATATAACCATAAAACTAAACGATAATACTTACAAAGTAACTCTAATCTGACAGTTTGTTCGGACGGCATCATAAGTTTGGTATTACTGGCTTGGCATTTAAATGTCGAATTGAGCTTATCTCTAGTCACTTGCTTGATTTCCAATCTATTGACAATGACGTTAGTTTTTGTGATAGCTTCAAGTTGGCCTTCGACTAAGCGATCGTTTACAAACCAGGAAACTGTAGGACTAGGACTACCTATAACAAAAATAAATTTAAGTTAAATACCAAAGTTGATATTTGAAATCTCTTATCTGGATTTATAGGCTAAGGTTTTATGTGTTTTATTCGAAAGTCTAGCTCGAAATGAACAAAGTCGTAACGGTAGCATTAAATTGCATGCAAATTTTTATGACCGCAAATTTTAACGTTCTTTCTCTTTCTCGATTGCTTAATTTAGACTTTGTAACATTGTGAATTACTATGCCGTTCGAGCTCGATTTTAACTATATACATTCAGAAAATGCTTAATTTGAATAAAGTAAAACTTTCTTTATTGTTTTTTGATTGGTATAAAGTTTACATAAATTGCTGTAAGACGACTAAAAGTCATTAAAAAGCCAAATTCCATTACGTCCACACTCACGGCTCACGGCTTTCCGAAATATGAGTTTGTCTAATTTGGTTTCCCAACTTCCGGAATATAACATTATGGCTGCAACAGTTTTCACAAACAAAATAACTTTTGAATTCGTTTCAATTTTCTCCGGTTGCAAGTCTGGAAAATTTTATCTATTAAATTCACCTGGTTCGTGTTGCTGCAAGGATTTCGACTTGATTTGCATTAATGAAGGAACAAATTATTGAAACCAGAGGCTGCTATTCAAGATTTTTAATTGACAATTGCTAGAAAAAATGGCTGCATATATTAACCATTCATGAGTAAAGGTTGAAAAACAAATGTAAAATTATTTCTGTGTCTACAAACAAAATAGCTACATTTTGTCCATCAAAACTTCACATCTCAAGACTAAACAAATTGCCATTTAACAGGCAATAAACAGCTATTTTGTTTTTATGTTACGAGACTGAAAAGGCCGAAAAAAAAAAACTGGGGGACAAGCCTAATTAAAGCTGAGAAATAATTGTCACGAACAAAAATCCGTTGACCTTCCGTGAAGATTGAAGGATTAGCTTTAATTTGTGGAACAAACGATTTTAGTAAGTAGTTAAAGTTTATAGCCAAGAAAATCTTGATGGTTTTGTATAGGTATGGAAATCAGCTCAGAGATTGTAAAACGGTATCATGGGCAAGATAATATCCCTATCAAAAAGTCTTTAGAACATTTAATATATTATCTACTGGCACCCGTTCAGTTTAATGGAAAAGTGGAGAAATAAATCCTGATTGATTTTATAATTTCCCATTTAGTTAACAGTGATTCGTGAGTGACTTAAGTTCTGGCGCTAGACTATACAAAACCCATAGGGCAAGGACCATTGACATTCAAGAAACCAGGCAGAAAAAACGCAGAAAATGAAGAGCAATGAGCTGTTCTACTACTGGAAACTCACTTTCCAGAAAATATACCTAATGATACTGAAGAAAACAAAGGATGGCCTAGGAAAATCGGGCAAGAAAACTGGGAGGTCGCCCAGAACCTTTGCACTTCTCAGCGGCTTATTTGAGCGATTGACTCGTTTCAATTGTTCAAGTCACCTGGAGTTGAAGGCATTTTCCAGCCCTGCTGCAAAAATGGCAAAATGAAATCATGCTGTGTCTAATCAAAATTATCAAGTACAGCTTAGCGACATACTCAGTCAATGGACAAGAGTTAAAGTTACTTTCATCCCAAAGGCGGGGAAAAGGGACGCTACTCTTCCGAAGTCGTTCTAGCCTAGATGTCTCACGTCGTTCTTACTGAAAACAGCTGAGAAAGTTGTGAATAACTATATCAGAATAAGTGTTCTAGAAAAGACGCTACTACACCATGGGCAACATGCTTACAGAGCTGGCAGATCAACTCACTGACATCTAAAACACATTGCAGAATAAAGAAGTAGCCATCTGCCTGCGCCTTCTTAAACATACGGAGGCATTTGATAACACATAAAGAATGCGCTCGTCAAAAAAGGAGTGGACAAAACGACATTCACCTGGATGTGCGAAACGCTAGCAACCAAAACTTCAGAAACTGACGTGGGAGAACAAACCATACAAGTCCCCACAAGTGGACAATGTTCACAAGGAGGGGTACTCTCACCTTTGATGTGGAGTCTAGTGGTTGATGATCTCCTAAATACACTGACTGATCAGGGCTCCACCTGCTTTGGATACGTCGATGATATTTTCATCATGTCCAGAGGCAAAAACGAAGGAATACTCTGCGACCTCATAGAAAAAGCACTTCAAATCATGAAGGAATGGCGTCAGACAATGAGGCTGAATTCAAACTCACTGGTAACATTTGCAAAAAGAGCGAAACTCCCAAACCTGTGAAACATTTGCCTCAATGGAAGCAGACTTAACTGGAAACAAGAAGTTGAATTCCTAGGAATATTCCTAGATTCTAAACTTCCCTGGAACCGACATGTAGAGAAGACAAAAAACAGAGCAAACTCGGCACTCATGGTATGCAAAAATGTTGCAAGTGAAACGTGGTTAGGGAAATAACACCCATATACAGGGTGTCCCACTAAGGTCGGCCAGGTACGATATTATGAAAACCATAGACCTCACGGCTTCGGATTTTTTTTTCCTCACTAAATCGGCCAAGAGAAATTGATGGAAATTATTTTCAAGTTTCTAAGATGACCGCTAGGGGGCGCAATTACGATGATATAACTAAAAATTAATATTTTCTCAAGAAATCGCTATATTAAAATATTGTTTTAACAACAGAAATCAAAAGTTTATTAATTATTGCGCCAGTTTGGTCATTAGGCCTTTTTCGTATTTTCACTGATAAGGGTGGGGGAAGCTGGTGAAAAAATAGTTTTAAAAATTGCTGTATCTTTCATATGCAAACTCATTCAATTTGGGCTCATTTGAAAGAGATTTTCATTGTTATTAAGAACACCACTTCGTCTGGGGTCGATAGTTCCCACCGCGTCTTCTAGAGTGCGCTGTTTAACCAAGATCCAGTTTTTTCTAATTTTCTTGAAAAATTGAAATGGTATGATTTTATTTTTTTATTGGTGTGCTTGAAGAGCAAAAGCATATCTACATTTTGGCGCAAACCGCAATTTAATATCTGCAATCGTTTTCAAGTTATGTAAGTACTATGGTTTCCATACTATGATACCTGGTCGACCTTAGTGAGTCTCACCCTGTATATACGAATTAAATTAGTGGATTTTATTCTATTGTGTCTCCGATTCACTGAAAGCTAGAGCGTTTTCCTAGGAAATCTATGTTGACATTCGTTTCTAAATCTGACATGTTCCATTCTGAAATAAGACCCTGTATTTGAAATGACATTGTAAGCATTATGACTTTTGCAATTCAATGATTAGCTTGAAAAAACACATCGTATGCACAAAGATTATGAAAAACAATTAGTATGATTTTAAGAATATTCAAGTTGTGGTAAGTCATGAAATGAAATGGTTTATATGGTACTACAATAAAGTGATTGTAACCCATCAATCCTACGATGGATGTATACCATGATAGCGAGATCTAACATCGCCTACGGAGCGATAGCTTGGTAAAGTCGAACCCAGCTAGTAACAACTAGTAAACCCCTAGGAAAAGTGAAAAGACTTGCGTGAACCTGTATAATAACAGCAATGAGATCATGCCCAACCGCGGCACAGGAAGTCATCTTAGATCTCACAACACTCCACATAATAGTGAAGCGGGCTGCCAGTGGATTATGTCTCAGACTGGCGAAGATAGGTTTAGAAGGGAAAACGAACTTTGGCAGAACTTTTCTTTTTTTCGAGAAAAAATTTTCCATGGAACTAAGTGAATGGTGAACAGACGGTTCCAAAACTGCTGAGGGAACTGGAGCCGGAGTATTCGAGCCATGGACCAGATATTCGAAGCCAATGGAAAAATCACCAAAACTATTTCAAGCGGAACTACATGCGATCGGAGGATGCATGCATTTCAACCTGAAAAGAAGTTATCGAAATCGAGAGATTTTAATGATGCCTGACAGCCAAGCAGCTATCAAAGCATTGAGATTACCGTTCATCAATTCTTAGATAGTATGGAACGCCTACAGAAACCCAATGAGCTGGGAAAAGAAAACAGAGTAACCCTCCTTTGGGTGGCTAGACACATAGGGGTCGAGCGCAACGAATGCGTAGACAGACTCGCAAGAGCAGGAGCGTTTACCCTTTCACTGGGCAAGAACCATTTTGGGCGTTGGAAATGTGCACCAACAAGAAATTCTCAAAAAGGAACAAACAATAGCTAGAACAGCCAGGACTAAGACAAGCCAAGAATCTATTGGGAAACTTCAACCAAAAAAGATCAGAACTGTTGGTCAACCTTAGCAAGAAAAGTCTAAAGACTCTTACCGGGTTTCTCTGGACATTGCAGACTTAAAAAACACCTACAGAAATTGGGAATGGAAGAAGGTGGCACCTGAAGATTTTGTGAATACGGAGAAGAGACACCTGACCATCTTCTACTAAACTGCAATGCCGTTAGTTGCTTAAGGATGAAGAATCTGGAAAGTCCCCCTATACAGTTGGAAGACATTCCAGCCTTGAAACCGCTAGTTATCTTAGAATTCCTAAAGGAACAGGGGCTGCTTCAAGGAGAAAACCTGAACTTAGCAGCAGAAGAAGGGGAACAATAGATCAACCTTGGTCACATTGCAACTGACACCTCCAACACATACATAGATATATACAACTTCTGGCGTTTGATTGGCTGAAGGGTACTGGAAGAAAGGCAAAATCTTTCGAATTGGAAAAAATTCTCTGGCACGGAATCTTCTTTAATAGGTACATACCTATTAATGTGCCTTCAACTTCAACTTCATTATCTTCATCTTACCTAACTATTGCATTAAACTTCTATCTGGTTTATAAATAAAATAAACTTTATTCAATATAATGATTCACAGTATACCAAAATGTTTTTTTTTGGCCTCCTGAAAACAGTACCTATGTACAGATTATACTGGCACCAAGGCCTGACAACGATTTTGTAAAAATTTAACAAATCAACAATTGGTTAATAGTGTCCTTGTCTTCTTGTATATTCTCTTCGAGCAAGTTAGTATTTGGTTTTCTAATAG